CTAGTTATTAGCCTTAGAAAAAAGAAAGAAAGAAAGGAAAGAAAGAAAGAAAGAAAATAAAAGAAAGAAAAAGACAGAAAGAGCGAAAGAAAGGAAGAAAGAATGATGTAAGCAAATCAATACGAGACCCAGAGTATAAAATAATCGCAGTGGGAGGAAGAAAGCTTTAATTAAAGTGTTTAAAAGAAAAAGAAAAATCGAAAATAAGAGAAAAAAAAGACCTAATGGCAAACCTGAGAAGAAAGAAAGAAAGAAAGAAAGCTTATTAACGTAGTGATACAGTAGGAAGAAGAAACAAAGAAAGAAAGAAACAAAGAAGCTAAATAACTGAGTGTGATTGATCAGAAGTAAGAAAGGGGCAGCCGTAATAATAGACGGTGATTACGTCAAGGAAATAAAGAGTAAAAGAAAGAAAGAAAGAAAGAAAGAAAGAAAGAAAGAAAGAAAGAAAGGAAGATGTAAGCAAAAGAGATATGAAGATGAGCCTCACATAATAAAAAATGCTTACTGTTGGAGAAAGAAAGACTTAATAAAAAATGTTGAAAAAGAAAAGAAAAAATAGCAAAAACAGAAAAAAAACGAAATGACAATCCTCAGAGGAAAGAAAGAAAGAAAGAAAGAAAGAAAGAAAGAAAGAAAGAAAGAATGATTCAGCCCCCAAAAAAGAATCGATGAAGAGCCTCACAGGATAAAAACAATCAGAATGGGAGACAGGAAGACTTAATAAAAATCTTTAAAAGAAAAAAAAAAGAGGAAAATGAAGAAATGACAAACCCCCCAAAAAAAAAGAAAAACGAAAGAAAGATAGGAAGTTGTTAGCAAAAATGATGCAAAGAGAAATCTCAACGGAAAAATGAAAAACAAAACAACAAAAAAAAAAAAAACGAAAGAAGGAAAATTGTGTGAGTTTATCGAAGACAGAAGATACGAAGTTATGAAAAGAATTCAAGAGTAAAAAAAAAAACGGAGATTGAGAAAGAGTGCAGAAATCTTAAAAGAAAAATGAGGATAAAACAAAAATAAAATTTCAAAATAGGTAACCAAAATAAAGATATTGAATTAAAACCTGAAAAAAATCGTGAAAAAAAGGTTTTCCTGTCAACATCAGATGATGGGGTTTACTGTAAAAGGAAGCCTTTTAAAAGCAACTTACCCTACCTATCCCCAGCTACCACTCACACAACCAGTAATCGATTCGACGGAAACAGTCTATGATTTCACTTGAATAATTTCAGTGCCAATATCAATTGTTATCGTAGCTTCAATGGAGCCGTAGGAACACAGTGTCCCCTGTTTTCTTTCAACAATTTCCTTATTTTTTATTATTTTGATTCGTCCTACGCCAACGTCTTAACGTTCTTTCCGCCTTCGATTGGAGGTTTTCGATTTCTTTTTTCGCCTCTTGCCAGTTTTCTTCGTCTCTGGAAAGTTTCAGCAGTTTTCTTTTTCAAAGCTTTTAACCTTGATGTTTATCTTTTTTTATCTTTTTAAAAACGCCCCGTGTTAAAAGAAAAGCCTCCCCATAGTTGTGGCCATGTACCTTGCAAAATAGGCTAAGTAAACCTTCTTGCTAAGAGCTTCGGCTATACAGCTATTTTGTTCTAATTCTTCTTATTATTCTTCTTTTTCTTCTTCAACGTGCCGTGACCCTTCATGGCTCTCCACCACTTCCCATTGCTTGCGAACGTCTGGGTAAAGATTTTTGTAATCATTTCACCCCAAGCAAAGCAATAAAGTCACTAAGACGCAAGGGAATAAAGAGTGTTAGAGAATATGAGAAAATACTATTAAGGAGAGCGAACAACAAAGAAGACGCCCTTGTCTTACGCCCCTTTCTATGTTTCTGTACTGAGTCAATTCATTTCCTGTCCCCCTATGCAAGCGGCTTGCTCCCAGTATAGAAGGATAACGAATAATGAACATCCTAATCTGTTGATCTTTCACCAAACATAACGAGTGTTTACATTTCATTTTAAATTTTAAATGAACCGATGAAAAAATAAAAGAGGTATTAAAAAGAGAGAGAAAGAAAGAAAGAAAGAAAGAAAAAAAGATGTAGAAGAGAGAGAGAGAAAGAAAGATGTAGAAGAAAGAAAGAAAGAAAGAAAGAAAGAAAGATGTAGAAGAGAGAGAGAGAAAGAAAGAAAGAAAGATGTAGAAAAGAAAGAAAGAAAGATGACGAAGAAAGAAAGAAAGAAAGATGTAGAAGAGAAAGAAAGAAAGATGTAGAAGAAAGAAAGATGTAGAAGAAAGAAAGAAAGAAAGAAAGAAAGAAAGAAAGAAAGATGTAGAAAAGAAAGAAAGACAGAAAAAATGGGAAATGGTAAGAAGAAAAAATACGATAGAACGGGAAATGATGAGAAAGAAAGAAAGAAAGAAAGAAAGAAAGAAAGAAAGAAAGAAAGAAAGATGTAGAAAAGAAAGAAAGACAGAAAAAATGGGAAATGGTAAGAAGAAAAAATACGATAAAACGGGAAATGATGAGAAAGAAAGAAAGAAAGAAAGAAAGAAAGAAAGAAAGAAAGAAAGAAAGAAAGAAAGAAAGATGTAGAAGATAAATGAAAAGAGTGAATTTCGGAAGGAAAAAAGAGACAAAAATGAGAAAATGAATGAGATAAATGAAAGAAAGAATTAAAAAATGACAGAAAAACGAAAAAAATATAAAAGAAAATAGTGAATCTAGGAATGAAAGAGAGAAATAAAATGAACGAAAAGAAAGACATGATGGTAGGGCGGAAGTGGGGGGGAGAATAAAATTGGGAAAACGTAAAAGAGATAAAAGAAAGAAAGTAAGAAGCAAGCAAGAAAGAAAGAATGAAAGCAAGAAAACTCAAAAAATGTGTAAAAGAAAGAAAAATGAAGAAATTTCGTAGGATTAAAATGAAAAGGAGTGCAAACGGAAAGTGAAATGTATATTTTAATGGAATCGGCATTACCAGTGATTTAATAGTTATCTTCTAATAACAAATAATAGTTACCCCATAATAGCAAATAATAGTTATTGCATAATAACAAATAATAGTCATCCCAAAATGACATATATCAGTTAATCTATAATAACAAATAATAGTTACCCCATAATATCAAATAATAGTTATTGCATAATAACAAATAATCGTTATCACATAATAAAAAATAATAGTTATCCCATAATGACATATATCAGTTAACCCATAACAGATAGTAGTTATCGTATAATAACAAATAATAATTGTTGCATAATAACAAATAAAAGTTATCCCAAAATGACATATAACAGTTAATCCATAATAACAAATAATTGTTACCCTATAATAACAAGTAATAGTCATTGCATAATAACAAATAATAGTTATCTCATAATAACAAATAATAGTTACCCTATAATAACAAGTAATAGTCATTGCATAATAACAAATAATAGTTATCTCATAATAACAAATAATAGTTACCCTATAATAACAAGTAATACTCATTGCATAATAACAAATAATAGTTATCTCATAATAACAAATAATAGTTACCCTATAATAACAAGTAATAGTCATTGCATAATAACAAATAATAGTTATCTCATAATAACAAATAATAGTTAGCCCATAAAAATATTTATCACATAATAGAAAATAATAGTTATCCCATAATAAGCATCCTCTTGGGATTCGGTTCCACAAAACAGTCGTTAGTAAAAAGCTGTTCTAGTAGAATTTTTCTGTCACCAATTGAATCCGAAAGGAACCAGGTTGGTTCGCTTGAATGTTGCATAGCATGGCGGGTATTTTCCTTGAAGGTTAGAACTCGTGAAACTTAGGAATGGAGTTCCTGTGAGCGCTTTCCATGAAAATAGCGAGAGAGAAGTGAGAGATGATAGATCAAAAATATATATGTTACTTTAAAAAATAATATTTTGTATCAAGTTAGGCAAAGATTGTTTGACAGGATTACTGCCTACAAAATATTTTGCGTTTTTTCATCTTCTCAGCGAAACGGATTTTTGCCTTTTGAAAAGTCGGGAAAAAGAAAGTTAAGTTTTTAATTTTTTTTCGTTAGTAAACCCAAGTCTGGAACAAAGAAATGGATTTTGCCATGATAGAAGTCTGGAAAAATCAGTTTAATATTTTGTTTCGCTCATCATTTTTTCGTTAGTATACCCAAGTCTGAAACAAAGAAATGGCTTGTGCCATGATAGAAGTCTGGAAAACTCATTTTAAGATTTTGTTCCTGTCATCTTTTTTCGTTAGTAAACCCAAGTCTGGAACAGAGAAATGGATTTTGCCGTGAAAGAAGTCTGGAAAAAGCAGTTTAAGATTTTGCTTATCTCATCTTTTTTTCTTGAGTATACCCAAGTCTGGAACAAAGAAATGGATTTTGCCATGATAGAAGTCTGGAAAAAGCAGTTTAAGATTTTGCTTATCTCATCTTTTTTTCTTGAGTATACCCAAGTCTGGAACAAAGAAATGGATTTTGCCACGATAGAAGTCTGGAAAAAGCAGTTTAAGATTTTGTTTCGCTCACCCTTTTTTTTGTTAGTATACACAAGTCTGGAACAGAGAAATGGATTGTGCCATGATAAAAGTCTGGAAAACTCATTTTAAGATTTTGTTTCTGTCATTTTTCTTTCGTTAGTAAATCCAAATCTGGAACAGAGAAGTGGATTTTGCCATGATAGAAGTCTGAAAAACTGATTTTAAGATTTAGTTTTTCTCATATTTTTTTTGTTAGGAAACCCAAGTCTGGCACAGAGAAACGGATCTTGCTGTGCGAAAAGTCTGGAAAAATGCAGTTTAAGTTTTTGCTCCTCTCATCTTTGTTCGTTAGTAGACGTAAGTGTGGAACAGGGAAAAGAATTTTGCTATGAGAAAGGTCAGGAAAAGGCAGGTTAAGAGATTTCCTTGGCTATCGTAATGCTGAACTTCGTTTGAAATTAATTTGTTTGAATTCAAAAGGCAATTCTACTCAAATTACGGTGGAGTGGGGCACTAGTATCTGTACAACACCCTTTTTGCCAACTCAAGATGTCTACGTGACACGTTTAAGAAGTTGCTTGCTAGATAAACTTCGAGGGCTCGACATTTCTATGAAGCTTGATATGATTTACAAATTTGATTTCCGACACAAGCTTACGGGATAAAGAATGATTTTACTTTCAAACATTTTTCAATTTTTCTCCCATAATATTATTCTTATCCTTCATTTGATTGTAGAGAATGGCGTTACAGTGTCAAAAAAAAGAGAAAGCCTTACCAAATAACAAAAAAGTAAATCGTTTGAAGTCTTCCAACAACGGGAACAACTAAAATAGGTAGCACATGTAACTATAGTAGAAAAACAATGATATATGATTTTTATATTCTTCAGTCGCAAAATCAAAAGATTTAGAAGGTAACATAGATCTCAGAAATATTTGAAGGAGCTATAAGATATAGTGTTATAGCGAAATGTTGGTCTAATTTCCTGAAAAAACTGTTTGAAGAAGTTACAAATTTCAACCAAAATGGACGACCAATAAATGCCGTTTCCTGAAGGGAAAGAGCAAATTTCAAACTTACTTATTAATTTCATGTTCATTCATTCGTTTTGCCCACATTTCTTTCTTTCTTTCTTTTTTTTGCTTGTTTCTCTTTCTTTTATTTCTTCTTTCTTTCTTTCTCTTTCTTCCTCTTTTCCTTTCTCTTTTTTGTTTTACTTTATTTACTTCTTGTTTTCAGTCATTCTCTTCCATCATTTTCTTTTCTTTCTTTCTTTTTTTTTTGCTTTTTCTTTCTTTTTTTTTTTTTTTTTCTTTCTCTTTCTTCCTCTTTGCCTTTCTCCTTTTGTTTTTTGTTTTATTTACTTCTTTGTTTTCAGACATTCTTTTCCATCATTTTCTTTTCTTTCTTTTCTTTTTTTTTTTTTTTTCTTCTTTCTTTTATTTCTTCTTTTTTTTTTTTTTCTCTTTCTTCCCTTTTCCTTTCTTTTTTTTTTTTGTTTTACTTTATTTACTTCTTGTTTTCAGTCATTCTTTTCCATCATTTTCTTTCTTTTCTTTTTTTTTTTTTGCTTGTTTCTCTTTCTTTTATTTCTTCTTTTTTTTTTCTTTTTTTTTCCCCTTTTCCTTTCTTTTTTTTTTGTTTTTATTTTATTTACTTTTATTTTCAGTCATTCTTTTCCATCATTTTCTTTTCTTTTCTTTTTTTTTTTTTGCTTGTTTCTCTTTCTTTTATTTCTTTTTTTTTTCTTTCTTTCTTTCCCCTTTTCCTTGATTTTCTTTTTTTTTGTTTTACTTTATTTACTTCTTGTTTTCAGATCATTCTTTTTCCATCATTTTCTTTCTTTTCTTTCTTTTTTACTTTGTTTTCTCTTTCTTTTTATTTCTTCTTTTTTTTTTTTTTTCTTTTCTTCCCTTTTCCTTTTCTTTTTCTTTTTTTTGTTTTTATTTTTATTTACTTTTGTTTTCAGTCATTCTTTTCCATCATTTTTTTCTTTCTTTTCTTTTTTTTTTTGCTTGTTTTCTTTCTTTTTATTTCTTCTTTTTTTTTCTTTTTTTTCTTCCCTTTTCCTTTTTTTTTTTTGTTTTACTTTATTTACTTCTTGTTTTCAGTCATTCTTTTCCATCATTTTCTTTCTTTCTTTCTTTTTTTTTGCTTGTTTCTCTTTCTTTTATTTCTTCTTTTTTTCTTTCTCTTTCTTCCCCTTTTCCTTTCTCTTTTTTTTTTGTTTTACTTTATTTACTTCTTGTTTTCAGTCATTCTTTTCCATCATTTTCTTTCTTTCTTTCTTTTTTTTTGCTTGTTTCTCTTTCTTTTATTTCTTCTTTTTTTTCTTTCTTTCTTCCTCTTTTGCCTTTCTCTTTTTTGTTTTTATTTTATTTACTTCTTGTTTTCAGTCATTCTTTTCCATCATTTTCTTTCTTTCTTTTTTTTTTTTGCTTGTTTCTCTTTCTTTTATTTCTTTTTTTTTTTTTCTTTCTTCCCTTTTCCTTTCTCTTTTTTGTTTTATTTTATTTACTTTTGTTTTCAGTCATTCTTTTCCATCATTTCTTTCTTTCTTTCTTTTTTTTTTGCTTGTTTCTCTTTCTTTTTATTTCTTCTTTTTCTTTCTCTTTCTTCCCTTTTCCTTTTCTTTTTTTTTTTTTTTTTTTTATTTACTTCTTGTTTTCAGTCATTCTTTTCCATCATTTTCTTTCTTTCTTTCTTTTTTTTGCTTGTTTCTCTTTCTTTTATTTCTTCTTTTTTTCTTTCTCTTTCTTCCTCTTTTCCTTTCTCTTTTTGTTTTATTTTATTTTTTCTTTTGTTTTCAGTCATTCTTTTCCATCATTTTCTTTCTTTCTTTTCTTTTTTTTTTGCTTGTTTCTCTTTCTTTTATTTCTTCTTTTTTTCTTTCTCTTTCTTCCCCTTTTCCTTTCTCTTTTTTTTTTGTTTTACTTTATTTACTTCTTGTTTTCAGTCATTCTTTTCCATCATTTTCTTTCTTTCTTTTTTTTTTTTTTGCTTGTTTCTCTTTCTTTTATTTCTTCTTTTTTTTTTTCTCTTTCTTCCCTTTTGCCTTTTTTTTTTTGTTTTACTTTATTTACTTCTTGTTTTCAGTCATTCTTTTCCATCATTTTCTTTCTTTCTTTCATTTTTTTTGCTTGTTTCTCTTTCTTTTATTTCTTCTTTTTTTCTTTCTCTTTCTTCCCCTTTTCCTTTCTTTTTTTTTTGTTTTACTTTATTTACTTCTTGTTTTCAGTCATTCTTTTCCATCATTTTCTTTCTTTCTTTCTTTTTTTTTGCTTGTTTCTCTTTCTTTTATTTCTTCTTTTTTTCTTTCTCTTTCTTCCTCTTTGCCTTTCTCTTTTTTGTTTTACTTTATTTACTTCTTTTTTTTCAGTCATAATTTTTCCATCATTTTCTTTCTTTCTTTCTTTTTTTTTGCTTGTTTCTCTTTCTTTTATTTCTTCTTTTTTTCTTTCTCTTTCTTCCTCTTTGCCTTTCTCTTTTTTGTTTTACTTTATTTACTTCTTGTTTTCAGTCATTCTTTTCCATCATTTTCTTTCTTTCTTTCTTTTTTTTGCTTGTTTCTCTTTCTTTTATTTCTTCTTTTTTTCTTTCTCTTTCTTCCTCTTTTCCTTTCTCTTTTTTTTTTTTTTTTATTTACTTCTTGTTTTCAGTCATTCTTTTCCATCATTTTCTTTCTTTCTTTCTTTTTTTTTGCTTGTTTCTCTTTCTTTTATTTCTTCTTTTTTTCTTTCTCTTTCTTCCTCTTTGCCTTTCTCTTTTTTGTTTTACTTTATTTACTTCTTGTTTTCAGTCATTCTTTTCCATCATTTTCTTTCTTTCTTTCTTTTTTTTTGCTTGTTTCTCTTTCTTTTATTTCTTCTTTTTTTCTTTCTCTTTCTTCCCTTTGCCTTTCACTTTTTTTTTTTACTTTATTTACTTCTTGTTTTCAGTCATTCTTTTCCATCATTTTCCTTCTTTCTTTTTTTTTTTTTTTGCTTGTTTCTCTTTCTTTTATTTCTTCTTTTTTCTTTCTCTTTCTTCCTCTTTCCTTTCTCTTTTTTTGTTTTATTTTATTTACTTCTTGTTTTCAGTCATTCTTTTCCATCATTTTTTCTTTTTCTTTCATTTTTTTTTGCTTGTTTCTCTTTCTTTTATTTCTTTCTTTTTTCTTTTCTTTCTTCCCTTTTCCTTTCTTTTTTTTTTGTTTTACTTTTATTTACTTTTTTGTTTTCAGTCATTCTTTTCCATCATTTTCTTTCTTTCTTTCTTTTTTTTTTTTTTGTTTTCTTTCTTTTATTTCTTCTTTTTTTCTTTCTCTTTCTTCCTCTTTTCCTTTCTCTTTTTTGTTTTACTTTATTTACTTCTTGTTTTCAGTCATTCTTTTCCATCATTTTCTTTCGTTCTTTCTTTCTTTTTTTTTTGTTTTCTTTCTTTTATTTCTTCTTTTTTTCTTTCTCTTTCTTCCTCTTTTCCTTTCTCTTTTTTTTTGTTTTACTTTATTTACTTCTTGTTTTCAGTCATTCTTTTCCATCATTTTCTTTCTTTCTTTTTCTTTTTTTTGCTTGTTTCTCTTTCTTTTATTTCTTCTTTTTTTCTTTCTCTTTCTTCATCTTTTCCTTTCTCTTTTTTGTTTTATTTTATTTACTTTTGTTTTCAGTCATTTTTTCCATCATTTTCTTTTCGTTTTTCTTTTTTTTTGCTTGTTTCTCTTTCTTTTATTTCTTCTTTTTTTTTTTCTTTCTTCCCTTTGCCTTTTCTTTTTTTTTGTTTTACTTTTTATTTACTTCTTGTTTTCAGTCATTCTTTTCCATCATTTTTTTCTTTCTTTTTTTTTTTTGCTTGTTTCTCTTTCTTTTATTTCTTTTTTTTTTTCTCTTTCTTCCTCTTTTCCTTTCTCTTTTTTTTGTTTTACTTTTTATTTACTTCTTGTTTTCAGTCATTCTTTTCCATCATTTTCTTTCTTTCTTTTTTTTTTTTTGCTTGTTTCTCTTTCTTTTTATTTCTTCTTTTTTTTCTTTCTTCCCTTTTTTTCCTTTTTTTTTTCTTTATTTTTTTTTTGTTTCCATCATTTTCTTTCTTTTTTTTATTTTTTTTTTCTGTTTTCAGTCATTCTTTTCCATCATTTTCTTTATTTTTTTTTGTTTTCTTTATTTCTTTTTTTTGCTTGTTTCTCATTTTCTTTTATTTCTTTTTTTTTCTTTCTCTTTCTTCTTTATTTCCTTTTTTTTTTTTTTTTGTTTTATTTTTATTTACTTCTTGTTTTCAGTCATTCTTTTCCATCATTTTCTTTTCTTCTTTTTTTTTTTTTTTGCTTGTTTCTCTTTCTTTTATTTCTTCTTTTTTCTTTTCTCTTTTCTTCCTCTTTTGCCTTTTTTTTTTGTTTTATTTTTATTTACTTCTTGTTTTCAGTCATTCTTTTCCATCATTTTTCTTTCTTTCTTTCTTTTTTTTGCTTGTTTCTCTTTCTTTTATTTCTTCTTTTTTTTTTCTTTTCTCTTCCCTTTGCCTTTTTTTTTTTTGTTTTACTTTATTTACTTCTTGTTTTCAGTCATTCTTTTCCATCATTTTCTTTTCTTTCTTTTTTTTTTTTGCTTGTTTCTCTTTCTTTTTATTTCTTCTTTTTTTTCTTTCTTTCTTCCTTTTGCCTTTTCTTTTTTTGTTTTACGCTTTTATTTACTTCTTGTTTTCAGTCATTCTTTTCCATCATTTTCTTTCTTTCTTTTTTTTTTTTTGCTTGTTTCTCTTTCTTTTATTTCTTCTTTTTCTTTATTTACTTTTGTTTTCTTTCTTTTCCCTTTTCCTTTTTTTTTTTTTTTTTGTTTTATTTTATTTACTTCTTGTTTTCAGTCATTCTTTTCCATCATTTTCTTTCTTTTTCTTTTTTTTTTTTGCTTGTTTCTCTTTCTTTTTTTATTTCTTCTTTTTTTCTTTCTCTTTCTTCCTCTTTTCCTTTCTCTTTTTTTTTTGTTTTACTTTATTTACTTCTTATTTTCAGTCATTCTTTTCCATCATTTTCTTTCTTTCTTTCTTTTTTTTTGCTTGTTTCTCTTTCTTTTATTTCTTTTTTTTCTTTCTCTTTCTTCCCCTTTTCCTTTTCTCTTTTTTTTTTGTTTTTTTTTTTATTTTTCTTTTTTTGTTTTCAGTCATTCTTTTCCATCATTTTCTTTCGTTCTTTCTTTTTTTTTTTTTTTTTCTTTTTTTTTTTTTTCTTTTTTTATTTCTTCTTTTTTTTTCTTTCTCTTTCTTCCCTTTTTCCTTTCTTTTTTTTTTTTTGTTTTACTTTATTTACTTCTTGTTTTCAGTCATTCTTTTCCATCATTTTCTTTCGTTTTTTTTTTTTTTTGTTTTCTTTCTTTTTTTTCTTTTTTATTTCTTTTATTTTTTTTTGTTTTCAGTCATTCTTTTCATCATTTTCCCCTTTTCCTTTCTCTTTTTTTTTTTTTACTTTTTTTTTTTTTTTTTTCAGTCATTCTTTTCCATCATTTTCTTTCTTTCTTTTTTTTTTTGCTTGTTTCTCTTTTTTTTATTTCTTTTTTTTTTTTGTTTTATTTCTTTTTTGTTTTTCTCTTTTTCTTCCTTTTTTTTTTTTCCTTTCTTTTTTTTTTTTGTTTTACTTTATTTACTTTCTTTTTGTTTTTACTTATTCATTGTTTTCCATCATTTTCTTTCTTTCATTTTTTTTTTTTTTTTTTTTTTTCTCTTTCTTTTTTATTTCTTCTTTTTTTTTCTCTTTCTTCCCTTTTCCTTTCTTTTTTTTTGTTTTATTTTATTTACTTTTGTTTTCAGTCATTCTTTTCCATCATTTTCTTTCGTTTTTTTCTTTTTTTTGCTTGTTTCTCTTTCTTTTATTTCTTCTTTTTTTCTTTCTCTTTCTTCCCCTTTTCCTTTCTTTTTTTTTTTTTTTGTTTTACTTTATTTACTTCTTTTTTTCAGTCATTTTCTTTTTCCTTTCATTTTCTTTCTTTTTCGTTCTTCTTTTTTTCTTTTTTTTTTGCTTGTTTCTCTTTCTTTTATTTCTTTTTTTTTTTCTTTCTTCTTCTTTTCCTTTCTTTTTTTTTTTTTTTATTTACCTTTCTTTTTTTGTTTTTTTTTTTTTATCATTTGTTTTCAGTCATTTTTTGCCATCATTTTCTTTTCGTTCTTTTTTTTTTTTTTTGCTTGTTTCTCTTTTTTTTTTTTATTTTTTCTTTTTTCATCATTTTCTTTCGTTCTTTTTTTTCTTCCTCTTTATTTCTTTTTTTTCTTTTTGTATTACTTTTCTTTTTTTTATTTACTTCTTGTTTTCAGTCATTCTTTTCCATCATTTTCTTTCGTTCTTTCTTTCTTTTTTTCTGTTTCTAACTTCCAAGTTCTTCTTTTTTCTTTGTATATTTCTGTCATTTCTTTCTGTTTTTTCTTTCTTTCTTATTTCTTTCCTTTTTTCTCGTTTATTTCTGTCTTTCTGTTTCACTATCTTCCTTTGTATCTTTCTGCCATTTTTATTGTTTGCATTTCATCCCTTCTTGCTTTCTTTTCTTTTCTTTCTTTCTTTCTTTTTTTCTTTCTTTCTGCATCTTTCATTCGTTCATTCATTCTTTCTTTCTTTCTTTCTTTCTTTCCTGCATGTTTTCCATCTTTTGTTCTTTCTTTATTCTTCTTTTTTCCTTCTTATTTCTACTTGCCTTCTCTTCAATTTCTATTCTTTTTCTTTCACTTCGTCTTCTTCCTTTCTTTTCTCATATATGTCCTCTTTCTTTCTTTCTTTCTTTCTTTCTTTCTTTCTTTCTTTCTTGCATGTTTTCTTTCTTTCTTTGTTCTTTTCCTTTCTTTTTTATTCCAGTTTTCATTTTTATTTGCTATTATCTTTTTTCCCTTCTTTCGAATTTAGCATCGGTTTTGTTCTGTTTGATTTCGCTTTTTTTCCCCTTATACCCCATTACATACGGCCTTTATTTACATATACTTTGCATATTTAATTGTCACTCGTTTGTCTGATACGATCTCGTCATTTTCCTTTCGGTGTGTTTCTAACAACTTCTGAACACACACTATCTAACAATCTTTCTTTCGCTTTTCCCTCTGTTTTTTTTTCATTTTTTTTTAATAAAACGCTTTTTTTTATTGTCTGCTACAACGATTTACGTAATGTGTCGAATGTCAGAACAGTACTCGAATTTCGATATTACAATCCTGAGAAGTAAATGGAAGAAAAGGAAGAAAGAAAAGGAAGAAAATAGACAAAATTTTAATACAAAAAAAAAGGTCACAGGAAAACGTAAAAGAATAAAGTAAAAGAACCCAGTTAATGAAGTGAGAAAATGTTTCAAGACAAAAAGGTTTTTAAACTGAGTGAGGAAAATAAAAAAAATAGCGGAAAAGCATTCCACTGTCAAAGGAATAAATCAATAAAAATGAAAGCAATAAAATGTGTAATCAAGTAGAAAGAAAGAAAGAAAGAAAAAAAGAAAGAAAACGAGAAATGAAGAAAGAGAAAGAAAAAAACGAGAAAGAAGCAAAGGAAGAAAAAGAACATGAACCAAAGAAAGAAATAAATAAATAAAGAAAGAAAGAAAGAAAGAAAGTTAAAGATCTGTTACATATTCTTAGAAAGAAAGAAAGAAAGAAAGAAAGAAAGAAAGAAAGTTAAAGATCTGTTACATATTCTTAGAAAGAAAGAAAGAAACAAAGAAAGAAAGAAAGAAAGAAAGAAAGTTAAAGATCTGTTACATATTCTTAGAAAGAAAGAAAGAAAGAAAGAAAGAAAGAAGGAAAGAACGAAAGAATAAAGAAATAAATAAAGAAAACGAGAAATGAAGAAAGAGAAAGAAAAAAGCTAGAAAGAACAAAGGAAGAAAGAGAATATGAACGAAAGAAAGAAAGAAAGAAAGAAAGAAAGAAAGAAAGAGTGAAAAGGAAGAGGAAACATATTGCGTGTAGAATTTTATGAAGATAGAAAGAAATATAATGATGGCGAAAGCTTTTATGCAAAATGTTATGAAGAAAGAAAGAAAGAAAGAAAGAAAGAAAGAAAGAAAGAAAGAAAACGAGAAGTGAAGAAATAGAAAAAAAAAGACAAAAAGAAACAAAGGAAGAAAGAGAATGTGAAATTAAGAAACAGAAAGAAAGAAAGAAAGAAAGGTTCAGAAATATTTTGCGAATAGAATTTTATGAAAATAGAAAGAAATATAAAGGTGGAAAAAGCTTTTATGCAGAATGATAAGAAGGAAGAAAAGAACACAAGAAATGAGAAAAGAAAAAGAAAGAAAAAATAGCAGAAAGAAAGAAAGAAAGAAAGAGAACGTGAAAGTAAAAAAGAAAGAAAGAAAGAAGAGGAATAGGAATGATCAAAAATAAAGAAGAAACGAACGAATGAACTAAATAAAGAAAAGGATGAAGAATGAAAAGAAAGAAGATGAGAGAGAAGGGAATAAGCCATAGAATAGAAAATAAAAAAGAAAGACGAACCGAAAAAGTTCACGAAAAAAAAGAAAATGAAAAAGAGAACAAATAAATAAAGAAAAGAAATATTAATCCGATCTGTGTTTAATATTGAATCTTAATATCCAATTCAATCTGTCAGAAATACTCGATATCCTGATCTCAAAACCAGATAATCTGGTGAGGAACTGTGCCGCGCAACGAAGTTTCGAATTATAGCCTGATATTTAAGAACGAGGTATCATATGACGAAGCGTGATTTCACCTCCTTTGATTATTTTTTTCTCTTAACGTGGTGAAGATCCATTCTTCAATCTTAAAGATGCCTTTTTCGACTTCACTACTCATACAAATTCCATAAAGAAAGCTGATTTTCTTTTACCAAAATCCAGAAATTCCTTTCCTCATAAATATCAACCAAAGGCACGCGAGCCACTCAATAAAACCAAAGCCCGCGTAAGACCCAAAATAAAAGGTTAATGAATGATGTTTATGATACGAATTTGAATGAGGTAATAGACTGTCCTGGGTATGACGATAAACTACATTCGGCAGTAAGGCCTCTAATCAATAGGTTTTGAGGTCGGCATCCATTGAGGGTGATATACCGTAAAACAAATTAAACCCGAAGCTAACCAGATATAGTAGAAATTGAAGATTATGGTGACAAGGAAAGAAAACAAAACGATTGTCGTTTCTCTTGAACATATCAAGTTTGTAATATTCAGGGAAGCACTCAAGTTGGGAATTACTTCTTAATTGCTGTTGTTTCTAGGTCAATCTTGACAAAAGCTGGTAGCACCTGTTTGGGTCCCAGCTATGGGCAAAAAGTTATCCCCAAACTGGAATCAAAACACTATCAAAGTATAAAGATAGATTTTTATACCAAAAATACTAGCAATACATTTTGGGATTATTTTTTTTTTTTTTACCAAGAATGTATTGGAGCCTCGACAAAAAGCCTCTTTACAAAAATACGGCTATGAAATCTGATATACAAATTGATTTCTTACAAAGAATCCATTTTCTATCCATACCAACCTATTCTAAAAATTTGGCCGCATTAAATGACTTATTGAGGCAGATATGCCGTAAAACAAAATAAACATAAACCTAACCCCAGGTGGAAGAAAGTGAAGATTATGACGACAAAGCAGAAAGATAACGATTATCACTTGAATTGGACATATCAAGTTTGTAATTTTCAGGGAAGCACTCCTGTGGGAGTCTGTTACACCGAGGGAAAAAGGTGCTTGTGTTCAACTTCCCGATCAGCTTATATAAATGGTGAACAGGGTTTAGGAGAGATAGCAAAAAGACCCAATTTAAAGGACAGGAATTTGTTTAGAGCCATGATCGCCGACGCCATGTTGGGATCTTAGAAGAAGAAGAAGAAGAAGAAGAAGAAGAAGAAGAAGAAGAAGAAGAAGAAGAAAATATTGGGAAGCGGATTAAATCCGACAGATTTGTAATTTATTCGTTTAAACGTTATTTTTTTATGGATGGTCATATCTAAGTAGCCGCCCTGTTTTAGATATATTTATTAAACAGTAAGTTTATCATCTACCGGCCTGCATATATAAATAAACATACTGTTTAATAAATAAATAAAAACATTGAAGCTACTTAAATATGAGTATCCATAAAAAAAATACCGCTTAAACAAAAAAAATTATTAATCTGTCGGATTTAATAATAATAATATATATATATATATATATATATATATATATATATATATATATATATATATATATATATATATAATATAGGTATTATACATATGTACATTATACAAGTAAAAAAGGATTTAGTAACGATAACGATCTTAAGAATACTGCCTTAAAAAGAAATGTTAACTAAAGAGGAATCGCGAGATGAGGGAAAATTTTAACTCTTCCAGTGGCTTAGTCAGAATCCTGACCATAACCCAATTGAATATCTTTGGACGATAATGGAAAAGCGTGCTTGTAATAGGAAAGTTAACACAGCAGATAAACCTTTTCGCAAATTAAAGAGATTCTTGAAAAATCTGTCGAAGAACGTTGATTTACTAAAGAATTTAGTCTATAGCATGCTACGAAGAATTAAGGCCGTTATTAAAGCCGTTATTAAAGCCAAACTTTACCCAACAAAATACTAAATAATTTTTTGACTTGTATAATGTACATATGTATAACCTGTATTAATACCCTGTATTAATAAAAGAATTCTGTTACTCACTTGTCTTGTAGTAAAATTACAAAATCGACTTTCTATGGTGCGTCCATTTTTTGACTTTTTATATATATATATATATATATATATATATATATATATATATATATATATATATATACTATAGTAGCCCGGCGTTGCCTGGGATGTAACAGTAAGAGATAGATCAAGTATCCACCATCACAAAGACTGAAAATAAAATTGACAAAGATTATTGTTTAAGGGTGACGAATACGCATGTCTTAATTATTTTTTTTTTTTTTTTTTACGAATTGGTCAAACTCAAACTCAAACAAAAACATTGTTTTCAATCGTTATGCGTCTCTACCGATTGAATAGAATTTTATTATAAACAATTGTCTTGTAAATGGAATTTTTAAAGCATTCTGAATGTAAAAAAGTGTGCAAGACAATAAGAAACACTACATGCCAAAAAAAGTGAAGTTTTGTTGAAATCGGTTGAAAATGTAGGTAGCCTTTCTGTAATCTTTTAGTTTTACAATTTATGATTTTTACTTATTGAATATAGTAAAAAATTGCATATTTTGCTTGTGGTTATTCATAATTAGAATTTGATTTGAATATATTTTCCACTGTTGTTTCTAATACAAAAAATATTAACTTTATTTGGGTTTATTAATTATGATCTAACAAATCTTATTCATTTAATAGCCTTTCTGTAATAATAATCTTTTTACAATTTATGATTTTTACTTATTGAATACAGTAAAATAAATTGGACACCATGTGTATTTAAAGTAGTTTCCGTTCCGGTTATTATTTTAGTTAGGACTTGTGTATGTTTAGATTTCATTATCTTTCCCTAAAGATAAAGAATTTATTCCAATGTTTGTATTCGTACAATCAGTAGAGATCGTTAGATTATTGTTTAGGTTGACGGACACGCATGTCTTAGTTTGTTTTTTTTTTTTTTTTTTACGAATTGGTCAAACCCAAACTCAAACAAAAACATTGTTTTCAATTGTTATATTGAGTACTCCGATTGAATAGAATTAGAATTTTATTATAAACAATTGTCTTGTAAATGGAATGTTTAAAGCATTCTGAATGTATAAATAAAGAAAAAGGTGTGCAAGACAATAAGAAACACTACATGCCAAAAAAAAAGTGAAATTTTGTTGAAATCGGTTGAAAAATGTAGGTAGCCTTTCTGTAATCTTTTA